CTCCCCCTAGTCGTAACCGGCGTACTCGACCTCGAAGAGGTCTAATACAAGCCTCTTAGCATTCATTCATCGCATAGACACTAAAACCATAAGGAATTTAAAACTTTCTTTACCAAGAAAACATTGCATAAAAAAATAGCAAGCGGAAGACTTTCTAGACTTTATACATGATGTCTCAAAACCATCTAATACTTTAGAGTACAAAATTCGGGACTAATCCCGTACACAACTTAAACAATACTAAAAAGACATAAAAGAACATATTGGGTATTGTCCTCGAATCTATGAGGACTCACCAAGTCTTCATCTTCAACACTTAGAAACCTATCAAAGCCATGACATGTCATCATCTCCAAATCCCTACACTTTAGTCCAAAAAGGGAAAGAAAGGGGTTAGCACAATTAAGTACTAAGTATGGAAGCCATGCAAAAACATGCTAAAAAGGACGTTTATTGGAGAAACATGCTTTTATGCCATTTGGTAAAACTTCATAAAAAAAATAAATACAAGTAAGCCTTTTCATCATTTCTTGACCTCTATCTCAAGTTACCCAAAGCCACACTTAAGTGAAACATGAAGTGACCGCCCATACAATCTCTTCATATACACCTAAGTATTCCTAAGGGTTACCATAGATAAGGAAATTTACCATTACAATATAACATACTAAGTCAATGTTCACATATAAAACCATAGCCAACCGTATACATACTCAACATATATTCATATACAACCCATGCTTAACTTTAAAAGAACACATGTCATTTCATAACCATAAGACCTCTACCTAATATAACCTTAAGACACACTTGAGTGAGACAAGAAGTGACCGCCCATACAACCTCTTCAAGCACACTTAAGTGTTCCTCAAGATTACCTTAGATAAGGACATTTCCTTTACAACATAACATCAATAGACCAACATTCTTTAAGAAACCATTTTGGAGACATTCAAGCACATAAGGGGACTTTCACATAATAGTCGTTAGACTTAGGGAACTCACTTTAGTATCTTCAAAGCCTACTCGTGCCATGTGTAGATAGCATCCCATACTACTACCTACACGTTGTAGAACCTATCCAATAACTAGAGTGCACATCCCACATGATGGGAATAGGCATAACCGACATAGACCATACTAGCTAGGTATGGAATCCGGAGTCTATCCTACTCCGTGGAGGTTGTTCTACTTGCCAAAGGTAGAACTAGTAAGCAACCCATGTAGGCACATGGTTAAGGGATGTCCAAGGAAGTTCATTGTGCCTAATCTCATACTCAACTAGGCCACCTTCCTAACCACATCCACTCGGTGCTAGCCTTGTTTCCCATAGAGTATTCAATCACATATGTACTTAGAGAAGGTTCCTTTTCTAGTTCAACCAACTCATAGTACCTCTTCCCAAGAAAGGCCCCATTTCTTAGTCATGGCCAATCAAGGTTCATAAGGATAGCTCATTAAATCCCCCTAGAAGGGTGCCTTAGGCCTACCGATCCAAGGTTCATCATTTCACACATGAGAAGGGCTACCACCATTAGGTCTACCGATTTCATGGTTTTACATTTACTTAGGAAAGCTAGACTTATGAAAGGGCACCATTTCTTAGTTTTGCCCATTTCACACATTCATGCATTCAAGACTTTAAGTAACAAGGAGGGACACTTTAGTCTACCAACCAAGTCACAACATTTTCATTTAAGGATACTTCATAATCCAACATCATTTCATATATACATCATGAGAAATCATACTTTAACTCACAATGCTATCCACTTTACATAGGATCATCACAAGATCACATAAAACTCATTCACACCATTCCTTCACATATAGCTTCACATAAAACTCATTCACATCATTCCTTCACATATAGCTTCACATAAAACTCATTCACATCATTCCTTCACATATAGCTTCACATAAAACTCATTCACATCATTCCTTCACATATAGCTTCACATAAAACTCATTCACATCATTCCTTCACATATAGCTTCACATAAAACTCATTCACATCATTCCTTCACATATAGCTTCACATAAAACTCATTCACATCATTCCTTCACATATAGCTTCACATAAAACTCATTCACATCATTCCTTCACATATAGCTTCACATAAAACTCATTCACATCATTCCTTCACATATAGCTTCACATAAAACTCATTCACATCATTCCTTCACATATAGCTTCACATAAAACTCATTCACATCATTCCTTCACATATAGCTTCACATAAAACTCATTCACATCATTCCTTCACATATAGCTTCACATAAAACTCATTCACATCATTCCTTCACATATAGCTTCACATAAAACTCATTCACATCATTCCTTCACATATAGCTTCACATAAAACTCATTCACATCATTCCTTCACATATAGCTTCACATAAAACTCATTCACATCATTCCTTCACATATAGCTTCACATAAAACTCATTCACATCATTCCTTCACATATAGCTTCACATAAAACTCATTCACATCATTCCTTCACATATAGCTTCACATAAAACTCATTCACATCATTCCTTCACATATAGCTTCACATAAAACTTATTCACATCATTCCTTCACATATAGCTTCACATAAAACTTATTCACATCATACCTTCACATATAGCTTCATATAGGACTTTACATATAGCCTCATTCATATATAATAATATAACAATACAATAACACTCATATAATGCCTTCAAGGCCATAATCAATACACATTCAATAAGTACACACCTCCACCATAAGTGGATCAATCCAAACAAGAACAATTTCAATATAGCATGAAAGTAGGTCAACTTACCATTCTCCAAAGCCATAATCACCATTATCCAATTCTCAACAATTCTAACATCACAAGAGAATTTACCCATGACTTGCCTACAAGGCCATAATTCTCAACTCATCCATACACCAACAATCCACCAACAATAGATATAGATAACAATAGGAATCAATAATACAATTCAATCTAAGTACAATTCCATCAATACCCAAGCATTATCATAAAACCCACTTCATAAGCCAAACTTAGAGATTTAAGGAGATCATGGGTCCATGGAGTTTTTCACCTAAAAACATCAATTAAACCATAATATAATCATAATAGATTGTTTGAAACCATTTAATGCAAGAACCCATGAGTTTGAGGAAGAATTGGGGTTTTTCATAACCTTTGAAAACCTTGAAAACCATTTTGAGATTTGGCTCTAGGGCGAAAACTAGCCCTAAATAAGGGATTTATGACTGCTCAAAGTTGGCCAAAAGCTCACTGATTTCCACACTTGGCCGAATTTCCAGATTCTGAATTTCTTTCCAAAAAAATGACTACTTCCAATTTCAAGCTTCTTCATATTCATTTTAAATTGTCGGATGTTACACTAGCTCATATGTTTAAAAACATAACTATTTATGTGGTTTGATATTATTACTCAAAAACTAGCTTAACAGCTCTTTTGGAAATCAATGTTTCCTCTCTTGGAAATCGGGTGTTTCCTCTCTTATCTAAATGTGAAAATCTTTTAACTCTTGGGAATACTTAGTTCCCATATAGTATTTTGCAGAAATGAACTTCACTCTTGCTATTACTCAACTCAATGCTGAAGTCTTTAAAACAAGTTTAAAAGTTTGCAAAAGACTTTTGAAAAGACTTTAAGAACTCTCTAGACTTGGCTCTTAACTTTCCTTGAATTTGATTTTATGGATTCAAGGTTATGATTCGTGTTTACGGATGATTTCTAGATGTTTAGAAGTCATTTAGAGTAGTTAGAATGAATAGAAAGTGTTAGTACACTTTAGAAAGACTCAGACGGGCTAAACGACAAAAAAAGGGTAGGGGCAGACGACCCGAGCACACTGCTGGCACGGGACGCCATCCCCTAAAGTTCAGAGACTGCTTTTTGGCGCACTGCTGGCGCGCCACGCTCGCCCTGCTGGTGTATCAGTGGCGCGTCGCACCAGCTCTCCCCCCAGGTAATTAAACCTGGCGAGTTTTTCTTCTCATTTTCTGATCTTAACTCGACTAATTTCGATTCTTTTTCTCAATTTCTTTTTAGATTCAGATACCCAATATATGTACACAAGAATCTAATCAAACACAACCCTAAAATCGACAATGATTTCTTCAAGAACTCATCAATCTCATCCCAATCTCAAGAACAAAAGTCAATTTCAAGAACACAAATCAAGAACATTAACCTTCAACTTTCTAGAACGAATTTAACGCTGAAATTAACATGATCGGCCCGTGGGTGAATGAACCCAACGCTATGTGAACTCACATACCTTTTTAGGGATCAACCCTTGGCGAAATCCGCAACCAAATCCTCAAGAAATCGACGAATCTTGACCTTTCTCCTCTTTTCTCCTCTTGAACTCCTTTCTAAAAACCCTAGCGTGAATTGTAATTGTCTAAACTGAACCAAATCAGTTTAGACCCTAATTAAATTACTAAAAATGAATTTAGTTAATTGGGTAATGAAAATACCAAAATACCCTTCTAAAATTCGGTTGACTTTCCTTATCCAGACAGCCCGACTTAAAACGGACATATCTCCCTCATACGAACTTGGAAATGAGCAAACTCGGTGGCGTTGGAAAGATAATTCAAAGATCTTTCATATGGTATCTTGTAGCCCACCTAACTCATCGTGTGCTAGGAGCTATGGTCGTTTGAAGTTGACCCAAAACTCATACTTTGCATAACTTCCCAAAATTTCCAAATTTAATTATTTCCAAAAACGGTTTCTTTCTAATTCTAGTTCTTTCAAGTAGCTGGGTGTTACAAGGGTACTTTTGGACCAAATTATCAACGATAAGGATATTTGTACCAATGTATTGACTGGAAAGGTAGTTTTGTTTATAAATAATGGAGTAACATTTCTATTCATTTCACATAATTTATACTTAATTTAAGTATATTTTTGATCTTTTCCATTTTTTAAATGGACTAAAAAGGAAAAAAAGAAAGTAGCACTAAATTATTCTCAGAGTCCCTCACACATTGAAACCTTTCCCTTTCTTGACGTTACTTACTATCTTCCAACCGAAACAAAAACTATTACCCCTTTTTGGACAACTCCTTTTCCATTTTCGTTCTTCAATTTTCTTGTGATCTCAAAAATCTTTGATGGGGAGATTATTTGTGTTGACTCTTGAAGGCAAGATCTACAGCTGTAAGCACTGTGGAACTCATCTTGCCCTTTCTGAGAACATTGTTTCCAAGGTTTTCCTCCATCTTTTCTATTTGATCACTCTGTTATTGTGATTTCTTGAAATTGGGATTGTTTTAATTTTGATTTTGATTTATTTCGTTGTAAAAATACAATCTTTGGCTTGATCGGTGATTTTGGTTTCGTTTCTAGAACTTTTGTTGGTCTGTTTAAGTAATTTTAGATGTATATAAAAATTGGCTACTTTAAATCAGCTATGTGAGTGAAGAAGGTCTCAGATTGAGTAATTTTGCCCTAAAGGAGATGACTTTTTTAGCATCAAAGAGCTGGGTTTTGTGGAGTTGCTGGTTTTGGAGTAAAA